GTCGGTTCACAAACCAGTAATGAGCAATGTCCTTTACTCTTTCATCAGAGAAACCAGACCACTGAGTGAACTAGCCCCAGCTCTGCTCCTGATAAACCTCTGGTACCTTATGCAACCTCTCTTCCCAGGTTTCCTTACTTACTAGTGAGTGAACTAAGTGAGCTCTAGCAACACCCCCTCTCCCCCAAGGGCACTGCCCACCCAGCTCTAAAATTCTGATTCCCAACATATATGGTTTTATGAGACTTTCTTTTTCACTTACTCTTTTATTCCATTCTCTTCCCAAATATATATCCCTTAATCTTGTATTCTAGGCATTGGAGATATGAACGAATAGACACAACAATATTGGGGCCCCAGGGTCTCGCAGTCCAGGGGAAAGTGAAAAGTTAATAACAGCAATGTGGCGAGTGTTAACAGCTGAGATATAAAAAAGAGGATAGGTAGACACAGGAGGAAATGTGTACTGAGACTGAAGGATAGTTGAGTTTGGGTGGGGGTGAGAGGCAAGAGGCAAGGGATTTCTAAGTAGAGACTGTGTGGGCAAAATCTTGAGAGGAAAAAAGAAATTTAGGCTTTTGGGGCTCTGTAAAGAGTTCAGCATGGAAGAATGGCAGGCCTCACATGCTCCATAAGGAACTTTGAAAGTATACAGTAGGCAACATGGTGTCTTCGGGCAGCAAAGTGACAAGATAAAATTGGAATTTAGATAGATCATTCCAGGTGCACAGTGGCGAAAAGAATGGGGTATGGAACTGAGAGACAAGAAAGGCAGAAGAGGTTGGAAGGCTATAATTGTCTTAAGACAATGATGAGAATCCGAACTAAATAGTGGCAGCAGAAGAGGAAAGAGATTTGAATTACAATGGATAGGACCCACTACCTGAAAGTAGAGGTTAAGAGAGAAAGAAAAGTCAAGAATAAATCCTGGGAGAAATAAGGAAGATAGGAAGGCTGTACCAGTGAAAATAGAGAAGAAATTGATTTGAGAGAAATTAATGAAGCAGAAGTGTCAGAACCAGATGAATGACTAGCTTCAGGAGCCGAGGAAGAAGGAAAAGGATGTTCTCTTTTCTAGGCTTGGACTAATGATTGGGTTGTAGGGTTATTAATCAAAATAGGAAAAACAGGAGAAATCAATTTTGCAAAAAATAAACTTAATTTTTCAGCACACCGAACTGGAGGTGCCTGCAAGCCATCCTGGGGAAGCTGTTTATTAGGTCTTATGCTAGCAAGGAGTTTAAACTGGAAATAACAAGGATAGCTAACATTTAATGAGTGTTTATCGTGTGCTTGGCACTTTTAAAAGTGCTTTACATGCTTTATAACAATTCTTACAACTCCATGAGATAGGTACTAATGTACCTCCTTTACAGATGAGAAAAAAATTAGGCACAGAGCACTTAAGTAACTTACCCAAGGTCAGCATGTGGGAGGCAGGATTTGAATTCTGGAGTTTTAACTCGAGGGCCTGTGCTAACCTCTTTACATTGTTCAACTGGAACTATCAGAAGTACAGACGGAGGTTGAAGGTATGGGAGAATACATAGAGTGCAGAGAGGACTACGGGCAGAGTCCTGGGAATCACCAATACTAAGAGGCAGGGCAGATGAATAAGGGTACCAGAAGGCTGAGGATAGGCCCATGGAAGCCAAATGGAAAAAAAGTTTCAAGAGGAATTAGTTAACAGTGTAAGTTGATGCAGAGATTTAAGTCAGATGGCAGAACCTGACTACTAGCAGTCCTGGGACATCATCATTCAGGGAGAGTAGTTTCCCAAGAGGCTAGGGCCAGACCGCATTGGGTTGAGGAGAAAATGAGATGAAGTGAAGAGAGCTCCAAAAAGCTGAGCTGTGAAAGGAATAAAGACTAAGAAGGTTGCTGGAGGAGCATCAGTTTGGAGAGTTTTATTTTGTTATAAAGATAGGAGGATTCTAAGCTTTCTTTCATGCCAGATATCCATTAATAAAAAGTAAAATTCATAAACAGCTCACTAAAAACCCGTAAAACACTTCTTAAATTGTAACACTAGACTGGGGAATGTCTTGGGAACACAAAGTAATTTTTGTACACTGCCTCCCCTTTCCACATCTCGAGCTTTTGATCGCCCACATCTGTCTCTACTGGGCCTGCACTACCAATTGGTGGATGCTGTCACCAGCCTTTCCTCAGTTCTTCAAACACACTAAGTTCTTTGCCTTCTCATGTTTGCCCTTGCCTGGAAACTCTTGCCTTAGCTTGCCCAGGGCTCTCATTCTTCAGAGCCACCTTTTCAGAGAGGACTTCCCTGACCAACCTATGGAAATCACACTCCCACTTTATTCTATATTATGGTACTCTAATACCATTTTATTTGGGCACGTTTAATTGGCTGTCTCCTACACTAGAATGTATGCATCATGATGGAAACGGCGTCTAGTTTGTTGGCCTCTGTACCTTCAGTCCTTAGAACAGTTCCTGGCAAAGAACATGTGTTCAATAAATATTTGTTAAATTAACTATATAAACCAATTTCTCCCTTTATCACCCTCTTCCATTGGGATCATGCACGCTGTTTCTTCAATCCACGGCCTTTTTCTCACTGTATTAACACACTTGGATGTAATCACAATAGCTAACATTTATTGCAGTCCCACTAGGTACCAAGCTTTGTGCTATAAGCTTTACTTGTATAGTTTCACTTAATCTTCATATTAATCCTCTCATATAGATAGATACTTTAAAAACTATTTCCATTGTTCAGGTGAAGAAACAGAGGAGGATGTATAACTTGCCCAAGTTCACACAAGTGGTTGGAACCGGTTATCAGAATCTAATTCTTACTTCAAAAACAAAGCCGGCTCACTGCTCAATTCAAGTGAGGGCACATACTGTTTGGGAAGTTCTGATCTAGTTTTATTTATGTTCTGAGATTATAGCTGCTTTATCCAGGCCACGTCCCGATCCACAAACTCACATTTCACCCTCTTCTCCCAGTTGCTTTCTGATGGCAAGAGCGAGGGCAGGGAGCAGTGGAGGACTGGCCCGACCTTCCACCTCTCGGCTTCTCCCAAGTCAGATGCACGTGGGAAGCAGAAGAGATCCAAGGGTTAGCAATTTATCTCTCAGCCCTGAGAAAGAGGTAACCCGGAACCTAACAAGCGACCGGCTAGTTTGGAGCTGACGGCGACAATTCCTGCACCGCATCAGTGGCCAAAACGCTTACCTTAACAGCCACCTCCGGAGCCGAGTCCACCGCCACTGTCAGAGAGGGCTTGGCCGAGGGCGATTTAGTCAAGTGCATAAGGGAGTCGGCGGCTGGCAGCGGACACCGACAGCCCTCACTGTCCGAGTCCGATTCGGAGCCTGAACCCGAACCATAGGAGGCAGCCAGGGATGCAATCGCAGCCGACATGACGGCAACAGCTCCTCTGCGGAGACCAGGCCCGGGCGGAAGAAGCTGCTCCCAGGTCCTGACAGATTGCCATGGAACACATTATGTAGCCTTCTTTGCTAAGAAATCACTTATAACATTTTGAAAAAATAAAAAAATAATGATTGGAATAACTACAATCGAACTGGGCATTTGGAAACACTTATCTAGGGAAACAGAAGGAAGAATAATCCCCTATAACTTCCAGGTCCTAGTTGGTTAGATTAAAGGATACGAAGTCAAACACCTTGGTGCCTCGAGGTCCTACACTCCCGGCATGCAGCGCGGCGGGAAGTGAGAGAAAGCACAATGGGAAGTGTAGTTTGGCGCAAGGGGGCGGGGCGGGGCGGGCAGGCCTCTCTTGGACCCCGCCCCTGAGTGGATGGTTCATTCAATTGGCTATCATCTTCCCTCATTCCCTAGCCCAGCACTGTTCTCTCCGTCCCCCTCCCCCAAACTGAGGATTGGGTAATACCATAGAGCCTCAGGAAAGGGGGGGAAAAGCGATCTTCACCCCCCACTGGTGGGTGAGTGGGCGGAAGCTGAGTTTCCCACCACGGCTGCACTTGGGCAGTGGGGGCTGAAGAGGAAAGTCGGAATCTTAAGTTCGAAGACCTTTGACTGGCCAGAAATAGCTCCTGGGGGAACGAAGGGAAATTAGGTGGAGAGAGTCCCGTCGTCCCCTCTGCTTCTGGCGCGGGTCCCCGCGCCCGGTTGTGGAGCGTCGCGCGCGGGAGGGGGCGGGCGGGGGGCAGCGGCGGCTCGCGGTGTTGTTCGCTCGCGCGTCGAGCACACTGTGGGTCCGGCGACCGGCGGGCGGGCACCCAGGGCGGCGTTCCCGTGGTACGGCGCCTCGGCCGCTGCCCCGAGCAGGTTCAACCCCGGAGCCTGACGCTCCTGTGGGCTCTAGGCGGAGTCCCGGGAGCTGAGGGGGACCGGCGGCAGCCGCCGAAGCATGAGGAAGGGGTAAGGCAAGAGCCCCCCAAGATTTCACGGTGAGCACGAGTCTCCCAGGAATTGTTTTCTTCGGGGGAGGGGATGCTGGGAGAGGAACTCTTCCTCACCGGCCGGAGCACAGAGAGGTGTGTGTGGGTCTCCAGCCCGCAGAGGTTACGCGGATGGATGGGCGCGCCTCCCCCGCGACGGCCCCCACCCCCATTCGCGGGTTTTCCGAGCTCCAGCCGCCCACCCGCCAGTCGGGCTGGGTGGCGAGGGAGACGGCGCGGGCGCGCCAGGGTCTCGGTTGCAGGGACCGCCTTGAGGTTGCTGTGGGCGGACGGACTGCAGGTCTCACCTGAAGTACCACCGCCTGGGCTCGCGTGCCCACCCGCACCCTCGGCCGGCCCGCGTGCCTCCTCGCTCTGGGGGCGGCGGAGAAGCCCGTGCTCGCTCTACTTGCCCGAGGCTCCGTAAAGCGAGCTGGTGCGTTTGCGTGTTTGCGCCGCGCATCTGTGTCTGAAGACATAACGGTGAAGCGAGTGCAGGCATCCCTTTTTTCTTTTGAAGAGGAGGCGAAGCGGTGCCGTCGCTTCTGATGCTTGGTAATGGGGCGGGGGGCCTCGAGCAGAGTTAGGGAGCCGCTCACTCAGCTCTGATGTCGGCAGGACTCGCCCATTGTGCCACCCAGATAATTATTCAACTATGCAGCATCCATTGCACCTTTCCCATTTTTCTTTTCCCCTTGCTACAGCATGCCCCCTAGCTTCGATACTCTGACACCTTCTCTTGCACTTGCGATGATGGACTGGAATAATGATGAAAGGAAAGCATATCCGATCTGATCATTCACAAACTGTCCTATAACCGAGTAATTAATCTGCGGCTAGACTAGGTACTTTAATGCGACTCACTCTAATCCTATCTTTTTCTATAGAAGGAGTGCCTTGGGTTCTATTTTAATTTTTTCCTTTGGTGTTAGAATCATGTATTAGCTAAGTCTTATTTCTGTTCGGTAATTGATATAATTGATTTATTGGTTATTCAATCCGTCTACTGTTCTTAAATTTAATTTGTGATAGGTAACTCTCATTTTTTAAATCGTTGATAGCACTATATGATAATTACAAATGCATTCTCAGTTTGAACTGAGGAACAGTTTATCCCTTTTGCTCTAAGTCTCTGCGTAGAAAAGTATTTTAATTGATATCGAATATTCGAATAAAGTACTTGATATAAAATTTCTCGCTTTGAATAAGAAAAGTTTTGTATTTATTTTTCAGCAGTCATTTTATTACTAATCATAGCCTTCAGTTGAATGAAAGGAAGGATATAATATTTAAGGTGGTATGTTTAACTGTCATATCGATCATTCCCTAATTTATTTGAAATTTATTTTTTATTTATTTCTTTTCTTTGCAGTATTGTATATTTAATTACTTGTTATGGAACTTAAAAATAATTTTCTAACTTCTATCTATAAGGATGGGTGGGCTCCAATTTTGCGTGAACTACCTGAAGATGAAATTATTTTTGAAAACATAAGAAACAACTGTTGGTTACTAAGTTGTTATGTTAAAAACTGTTAACATCTCATTATTTGATAATAAGTGATTACTACTAAAAAAATAAGTGTTTTCTTTTTATTTTTGTAACCCTCCTTCCATCGTTCCTTGTTTAAGCTTGTTGCATTAACTCTTGATAGAACACAATTGCACACAGGCATTGCAGAGGCAGTTTTAAGGTACAGTAATTGTTTTATGGCACTTGGAAGTGGCACACATTTAAGTTGTTGCTGTAGGATTAGTTGCTTGGTTAGAAAATGACCTCGCAGTTTACAAAATGGACACCTTTGTGCCTTGGTTTCCTTTTATGAAAATGAAAATGATACTCATTTATTCCAGTAGGTAGTATGCATAAATTCAGTAAAGATGTTTTAGTGATTTTAAAGCAAATTTAATATTTAAACTGACGAATGATGAATATATTTCAGTGTAAAATACAATAAAAATATTAGGATTTTCCTTGGCACATTAGAATAGCTAATTTACATTGATTTTTGCTTTGGAGAGGTATGGCTCTAAATAGAAGAACGTTTTTCGTATATAAAGGGTTTTTAATAATTGCACACTTAATAGGGATTGTAGTTCGTACCTATATATAGTTATAAATATAGGTACAGTATAAATAGTTCATGTTGATCCAAAATTACATGACTTGGTAAAACAAGTTGAATATTGAATTAAGTTTGTGAAAAATAAAAATCCAGAAAATATTAAGGCCTTTTTCATTAAAAAATTTGCAGGTGACACAATCCAAAATACATAGTTGTCATCATTTGTAAGGTGTGATATGGAGTTACTTTGTTTATTATTCAGGCTTGTAAATACTTATATATTCACAGACAATGTATTAATATTTTTGGGACTATATTTAATTACACATTTTGCTTTCTTTTAGGAATTTAAGGTATTTTTTCCAAGTGCTTAATTTTCATTATCATGGTAGATAGTAGCTTCTGTTTTCCTTATTGAAGGATTAAGTCAGTCAATTTTCATAGCTAAAACTATTAAAAGATTGTATTATTAGAAGTTTTACTAAAATAGTGCTTTGGTTACTTTGTGGGAAAAGTTTATATAAATGTTAAGCCTATTAAAGTATTTTTAAAATTACTATTGTATAGTTTCTCTTTTTGAGAATTATTTTGATTACATTTTATAGTGTTTTCTTAAATGATGAGCTAAAATTTAGTTGTCACTAACACTTGGGTAAATGCAATTAACTCATGGTTTTTCTCATCTCTCTAAGGATAGGAACTGATCTGCGGCTTATTGTCATAAATTCAAAGTTGCTAGCATAGTGTTTAGCAAACAGTAGAAGCTCAATTTTCTTTGTTGAACAAATAAAATGAATGAGTGAAGAATATCCATTGAATTAGTATACTGAGTGAAAATTTTTAAAAGTAGATTTATCAAACAAATTTTAATTAGTGAAACAGCCTTGTCTCAAGAGAAAAGAGAAAAATGTATTTGTACATTCTTTGATATAGTTCCTTTACCCGCACATTTTTTAAAAATTTATTTATTTATTATTGGAACATAGTCGATTGTACATATCTGTGGGGTACAGCATTGAATATCAATATCTGTGTGCAATATGTACTCACGCATTTTTTAACTAGCACTAGATACTGAATAATATATATTTTGGCAACCTGTGAAATGATATTAACAATTTTCTTCTTCTTATAGCTTACTTTGTAGAAATGTACATTAACATTTTTTTGTTTTGTTTTTCCTAAACTGGATGAGTATAGAAATGTGTTTAATTCTTTTTTACTTACTTAAGTTTTCCAGCAAAATATTAATAAAAAGATGTATGTAAATTAAATCCTGTGCTAAATACCTGAGTACTTAATCTTAAAAATAAATGACCCCTGAGGTGGAACTTTTTATGAAATTGAGCATCTTGTCTTTTTAGTTTGTCACATTCAGCTTATAATTCTGAGTCTTTGTGAATTGGTATTTCTAACTTAGAATGGGATTGATTATATTTTAAATGATTTGAAACTTGGAACCTATTTTTTCAGAAACAATGTGCTTAGTGGTTAGATTCACAGACAGTCCACTAAAGCCTGTTTAACCTGAATTATAGGATTATGCTGATAATACTAGAGAATTATAAAATTATATTAGTATTAGTACAGTTGGCCCTCCATTTCTGTGGGTTCCGCATTCATGGATTCAACCAATTGTAGGTTGAAAATGTTCAGGAAAAATGACTGCAAGTGTACCAAACATGTACAAACTTTTTTTCTTGGCATTCTTCCCTAAATAATATAACAACTATTTGCATGCCATTTACACTGTATTAGGTATTATAAATAATCTAGAGATGATTTAAAGTATATAGGAGGATGTGCATAGGTTATATGTAAATATTACACCATTTTATATCAGGGACTTGAGCATCCTCAGATTTTGGTATCCTATGGAGGTCCTGGAACCAATCCCCCACTGATTCCAAGAGATGACTGTGTAAATATTATGTAAAAAATACCTATAATACTGTGTATGGCAATCTTTCTATGGGAAAATTAATTTCAAATCTACCTTGAAATGCAATGAATATGTTCCTCTTGTGTTATACACAATGACGGCATATTCAGGAATTTGCTGACATAATGACAGCATAATGACATCAATGACATAATGACAGTATTATTAGGAATTTGTCTTCTTTTCCCCACTGGACAGGAAGAAAAGGATCTTCCTCAGTTCACTGAGTGGTGTAGCCTTACATCATTTGAGGTAAGAAGTTAGGGCATGAGAGAAATTGGAAGGAGGTAGGGTCTTTTACATGACTTACCTCTCAAGGTCTTTGGTTTTGTCAGTTGTAAAATGAGCAGATTGAAGTAAATTTTTTAGTTTTTTAAAGGAGTTTTTTGTTATAGTTTTTTTTTTGTTTTGTTTGTTCTAATTTTTTTTAAATGATTGCCCAGCACCACAGAATTAAGTAACAGAATTAAGATGATGTCTTTTGTTTCCTTCTTTTTGAGTTTTTTAACTAACATTTATTAGTAAAGTCAAGGTAGATTTTATTCATACTTTGTAGAGAGATCATATCTAGTGAATCTCCAGAGAGGCTTTTGTTTTTGTAAAGGAAAAATATTGGAATTAAGGTTGTGGAGTGTTAGTACAAAGGTAAAAAGATGGAATATAGCCTGGAGATAGGGTTGCTACATAAAGTATGGGGCATCTTGTATTTTTGACAGCCTTAACTGGGATACTGTGGCTCTTTGGTCATGACATGGTATGGAGCTTTGGTGTGAGTGTGGTGGGATTGGAGGCAGATTGAGAAAGTGACTTTATGAATTCCTTCAGGACAGTTTTGTTGTTGTTTGGTTGGTTGTTTTGTTTTACCTCACTTCATTTTTGTGTTCCCCGTGCCTGTTCTTTAGTTTAAACTAAATGGATTTTGAGTGAATGCAATTACTACAGAATAGCAGGTAAGTCATTCTCTTAGGAGGGTGGATCAGGGTGTTGTGAGAAAAGGGGTCATGAAGCACAGCTATGTTTGTCATATACATTGGAGTATTTTGTAGGTTTTTAATTAACTTTTTATTTGAGGGTTAGTAATATTCAAGAATAACATGTAACATGGTATCTTAATAGGGAGGGAAGTAACGTTGCATGCTTGCTATATGTGCAAGTCACTGTATAGGTACTGTTACATTTATTATCTTATTTAATTGATGTCATTGTTCTATGAGGATTTTATGGAAGGAGATTAACTGAATTGAACAAGTTGTTTATTCTGCCTAGCAGAAGCCCAGGTTCTCTGGGAACTACTTTCTATCCCCTTTTCTCTGATAAGTTACTGTTGAAGCAGTCATTTTAATAACTTGATAACAGCAATTCTTTCTACCTGCTTCCTTCCCCTTTCTTGTAATTGGTTAATCTAGTTTAGCACCTGCCCGGAGCTAAACCAATTATTCATTCTGCACGTAATTAGTGAGTGCCAACTAGGTGCTGAAAGGATAGTTCTCTATGCTTTTGGAGTTAACATTGTAGTAAGAGATGAATACTGAACAAATACACACAACTTATAATTAGAAATCGTGGTGAATGCTTTAGAGGAAAAGAAGAGGGAACCTAATTTACATTGGGAATCAGGGAGGGCTTCTGGAGGCAAGTTTAGTAGAAGTTAGCTAGGTGGAAAAGGAAGAGAATGCAAAGAACACATGTGAAAGAATTTTGAGGTGGGAAAGAGCTTGTTAGATTTGGAACTAAAAAAAGGCCAAAGTAGATAAAGCTTAGTGAGTAAGAGGGATTGTGATTTGATATGAGGTTGTGGAGGTAAACAGGAGCCAGACTAAGGCTTGGTTCAACAAGA